TTCTATGCAGCCACCTCGCACATAATAATATTATATATATATATATATATATATATATACACACACACACACACAGGTATTCTGGAATGAAACAAAATTTCTTATACATTAAAGGCAAACTGATTATCCTTATAGAAGGGTAGCGAGACTGGTTGTCAAATGGAAATGCTGAAGTTGCTCAAGAAGTCAAAATCCATTAACAGAAAGAGACCAGAATCCTTATAGATATAAGCATAGAATCAGACTAATTGAAAGTTTCAAATACAGCTAGTGTAGTCCAGTAGATAGGACACTTGAGTGGGACTCTACTTAGACAAGTCACTCCACCTCTATTCCACTCCCCCACCCCAACCCACACATACAGATTCAGTCTGGTCTACTCAGTATGGAAGTTCTTTGGGTCAGGAGCTATCACTTCCTATTGTGTTTGTAATATAATGGGGCCCCATCCCAGCTGCATTATCTAAGCACTATTGTAATAATAAAGAACAAAAATTCTCTACCTATTTGCGAACACACTCCCCAAGCACAATTAAAAAGTGAACTAAAATACTGCTATCACTATCTACCCGTGTAGATTTACTTACCCACTGGAATTTAAAACAATTCCTATAAGTACACTCTCTGGAACCCGTTGTTCTGAAAATAAGGTTAAAATATAACTTTATGTATTTTTTAGTGTTTAACACTGTTCTGACTGATCCTTTTTCCTCCATATTTTTTTTTCAGAAGAAGCCACATTAAGACTAGAATTCTATCCCATGCAGGTGAGTTATTTGCCTAATTTGGATAGGAAAAAGGTAGCTCTCATTTGATTTGAATACAATTTAGCATTCTATTACCTGGAATTTTTATTGACCATACTACAGGACAGTATCCATTAGAGGATATAGAAGACTAAAAGAAGGGAAGAATAAGTCAAGAGGAGCATCTGACCCAAGAGACCATGTTACACTGATGCACCCGTCCCAAACTAAAGAAAAACAGTTGATAAAATTAGAAGCAAAATGTTAAGCTGCACAGGAGGTATGGACACTTCAGAAAAATGAAAGAATTCCTAAATCGGGGCTAAGAAGGCTTAATCAAGCTCTGTCTCCAGAAAGCAGTCCAGACAACTAAGGGAGATACACAGAGGGAGTGACACCATCTACACAGCTCTTATGAGCAACACTACCTGCCAGGGTTAACAGAGTTGAGCTAGCAGGGCTTGTAAAATAGCTGTGAAGACAGCACTTTTAAGTTGCAGTTCAGGCTGATGCTCAGGCTCTGAAGCTAAGGAAGGGGGGATGGACTTTGGAGCCCAAGCTCCAGCTCAAGCCACAAGTTCAAAGTGCTGTCTACACACATATTTTTATAGCACTAACGTGAGCCATGTTACCCCAAGTCTGTCGACCCAGGTTAGAAGGCTTGCTCCTATGGGCAGTGTAGATATACCCCAAGTGAGCAAAACCACCCTTGTCTAGATTTCAGCAGCTAGGGTTGCCCTGCTAGTCATGTTCTTTATCCAGGAAGGCCAGAGCCCTGGCCCTTTGCATGACTTGGCATAAATGACTGACACAATGGTACCTGGTCTCAAATGAGAAAAAAAGATCAATTTACCAGTTAAATTGCTGCGCTCAAAATGCCTTTCAGCTATGAAGCAGGCGTGCATGGAAAGGTAAAACTACAAGGCTAAGTCTCTCTCTACTCTGAGAGCTGAAGCCTTCCAGTCTTTAAGAAACAATGGTACACAACAGAACTGGAGGGCCACTGATTGCTACTTTGACAGCGAATGGTCTACAAAGTTAGGATTTCAACCTCTGTGCCATCCTTCAATGTACTTCAGTGAAAGAGCAGGGGATGGGAATCTCTCTCAAGAAAGAAACCTGCATAAATTAACCAACCTCTGACAGAAATAGAGGAGGGTTGAGGGAAAACATTCTCCAAAGAAACACAGACATCTAACCTAAGCAACCACAACAGCTGCCCACATCTGCAAGAGACAGAGAAATAATAGCTGAGCAGAGTCAGCCTGCCAGACCCTTTTACTGGACATATAACATCACAAGAACTTTGCATTTTTCCTGTTTTCATCTACTGCTAGCAGGACTCAACTATGGAGAGAATTCTTAACTTTCTCAAAGTATGTTTTTCAGACATTAAAAAAAATTAAACAAGACCATTTGAAAAGTGTATTTATGCAATGTAAAACAGTTTACTCATTTTAAACATTGTTACCAAGCCCAAGAGTACATTAAAACATATTTACCCATTATATGTTTCAGAGACACCTGCGAATGGTTCATTCCCACATTTAGAAAACATAAACACTGTGTTCAATAGTAGAGCCACTGAGCAAGTGCCTAATATGAACTTGATTATGTTTTTGCAATCCAGTTTGTACTTGGAAACCAAGATGCCACTTATGACTTGGCCTAGTGCTGCTCCTGGAATTAATATAATCCCTAGAGGAAAATGAGACACCAGCAATTACACAAAAATGCAAGACATAATTAAGCAATTTAGGATAATTTCATATTTGAAAAATCAAAATTTATCAGGGTGTATCCTGAGTTTTTGTCATTTTCAAACTATATTACTGGACTTTCAAAAGACATGATTAAACTTTTATAACAGTTCTCACAAAAATAACGTAAATGATTCTCTTTAGATTTATATGCATGCATCTGTGGCCTCTCATTATTTAGCTGTTGTTTCAAACTTCTTATTGCCAAAGGCACAGCCCAATCTTAGATTTTGTGGTAGATACATCAGATTAATATAGCACTCCCTCACACACTCAAAGTCTGCACCTTTTTAGTGCACCCTTCAGTCATCTGGAACCTTCCTCCATGCAGTTTACTGCTATTTTAAGCACAAGATTTTCCATAATGAGTTCTAAGGATGTGCAGATATTGGGCTTTTTGGTCCTCTAAACCCCTTGTCAAACAATCTCCCTACCCCATTTTCTGAGGAATTTCTGGGGTTAAAAAAAAACAAGAAGAAATAAAAGGATGAGACCTGCCAGGAAGGCAAGGAAGCAGTAGAAGTAAGTACCTTCAGCAGTGATAGCTAAATGGGATACGTGGAATCACAGCAACAACTGAGATAACAACTCCTGCAGGGTACTCCTTCACTATGGTCAAAGAAGCAACAGATTGAAAGGTTCCAAGGGCAGTAATTGTGGTGTGGGGTAGCTCACTGATAACCAAAAGGGTCCAATTCCCCTCTGCTCAGCCCCTGATGCCAGCCACCATCACACACTTATTAAATTTTCAAACAAGCACCTTTGTGCTTTCTCCCATTCTGCCCCTCATGTTTTATAAGAGCTTCCCATCAACATCTGCAAAACTCTCTTATTAACCTCCTTAAAACTCTGCTTTTCCGTAATGCCCACAAAATCTTAACAATTAGGCAGTGGACTCAGCACACCAGAAGCCTAATTGTCTTTTTTAACCACACTGCTTTTCAGATTGCTCCATGCAATTGAACCATAAATGGTATTCACCAGAGGTAGCAAAGGTGGAAACTGTTATGTCAACAGGACTCAAGACATTTTTATTTATATATTGTCTGTTGAATTAATTTAGATGGAATATATGGAGCCAAAGAATCCAAGGTGTTAATATAGCCACTGTTCAACATTAGTTTTAAACAAGGTTCAGGGTTTGGTATATGGAGACTTCAGCCTACTTAATATGGAGGGGCATGAACCAGCGTTCACGTCGCACTCCCCATCAGTACCCAGCATGGGCCAGGGAAGCTAATGATCTAACCAGTGGACCACATTTGGAGATAAATCCTGGTCACGTGCCAACTGTAGGGTTACCATATTTCAACAATCAAAAAAGAAGACGGGAGGAGCCCCGCCCCTGTCCTGCCCTAGCCCACGCCCCTGCCCCTTCCACTCCCTCCCACTTCCTGCCCCCTCAGAATCCCCAACCCTCCCCCCCACGCCTTGTCCCCTGACTGCCCCCTCCTGGGACCCCTGCCCCTAACTGCCCCCCAGGACTCCACCCCCTATTTATGTACAGGCGTGACTACCTGCCCTTTCCTGGTTACTATACGCGGCCAGTCCGCATCCACATCCAATAGTTAAAAAAAAAAAAAACTAATAATTTAAATTGGAATTTCATCCATTAATAAGTATTTATTATAGAGTTAAAACCATTCTATTGAAGGGCAGATATTAAATAAGCCCCACTGGTCCTTGTCCCCAACTGCCC